GGGGGGGGGGGGGGGGGGGGGGGGGGGGGGGCGGGGGGGAGGGGGTGGTGGGCCACCACAAGCAGGAGCCCTAGATCCATTTGCTGCATCCGTCGGTTGAGGTCCCTGGAAGGATTGGGGGGGGGGGGGGGAGAAAAAGAACATCCAATTAGGCCATTTGCTAAACAGACAAATGAAAATATCCCAAGGAAGCACCTGGAATATGGATGTGCAGGTTGTACTCACCGTTTTGCTCCAGGTGAGCCCAGTGGTATGGTACTGCTTGATGTACGCCTGCAGCTCAGTCCAGATACTGAGATAAGTCTTCACCCAGTCCACGTGCTTCTTATCACTAGAGAAGGAAGATCCAGACATAATTGGGCTGGGTCAGGGCTGGACTGCTGGGGGGGAGGGGGTTTCGGGAGAACCTCTAGCTAAGATTCTGTGCAGTTCAGAGAACCCCCAAATCCCACTCCTGACTGGCCCCGCCCACCCCTCCCCTCCCAGGAGTCCCCATGCAGCCCGTTTTGGACGCAGGTAAGTGCAGGGGGCACGTGGAGGCTTGTGGAGGGTGAAAAATGGGCCTACCTTAAGTTTGGTAAAGGCCTCCGGAGTGTGGGGAAGCCATTTTTGCCCTCCCGGAGGCTCAAAAAAACCCTTGGGGGCCCAGGGAGGGCAAAAAGGCCCTCCCTGGCCATAGTACAGGAGACCAACTAGGCCATGCCCACCATGGCCACCCCCACCTAGCAAATGGGCAGAGAACCCCTTGCTAAAAATTTGGAAGCCCACCACCTGAAATTCTGCCTATAACAGGGGTTTTAGTTTTATCACCTCCATTTTACAGATAGGACTGATTGGAAAAAAGTGACTCCTTGAAGCTTTTTGGCAGGAGAAGCAAGCTAGCTATCCCAAAGGTGCTTTTTTCAAGAGGCAACTGGACTTTCTGAGGGTTTTTGAAGAGGTTTCGCTTCTCATCCAAGAAGCTTCTTCTGAGCTCTGAGCTGAAAAAGCTTCTTGGATGAGAAGCGAAATGTCTTCAAAAGAAAAACCAGAAAGTCCAGTTGCCTCTTGAAAAAAACATCTTTGGGACAACCATGACCTGGATGACTTGAGAATCTTTACAGACATCAACTGAACTTTCGATAATGAATATTTAAAGCAGGGGTGTCCAAACTTGGCAACTTTAAGACTTGTGGACTTCAACTCCCAGAATTTCCCAGCCAGCCATGCTGGGGGAAGGAAGAAATGTCCGGACCAAACGTAATTTCTAATGTTGGGTTTTCCCCCCGTTACCAGAGGGAGCCCCCTTGTGGAGTACTGTGAAGCTGTAACCATGGCAACTCCACTGCACTGTACAGTAGAAGCCATTTTACGGGAGTACAGTAGAAGCTATTTAAAGGCACAGCAGGCTGCATCTTAACACAACACCCACCCCGAGGAGTGTTAGGGGTGTCTTACCCCTACACTATTTGTTTCCAGAGAGTAAGTCATCTGTGTACCAAGTTTGGTTGAAATTGTTCGAAACATTTCAGAGTTATGCTGGAACACACACACAGATATATATAAATATAAATATATAAATAAATAAAAATGGTGGGAATAAACGTACACATCTTTATATTCTTTAAGGACTCGATTGCTGTAAAACATGGCAGCATCTGTCATTTCCTTCACATAAGGGCCTGGCTTGGGGGCCTACAAGAAAACAAAGTAACACAGAAAATAAGCCTTTCATCTCAGCAGGAAAACCAAAGCCACGTGATTTTTAAAACCCAATCATTTTAATTTAACCAATTTACTTTCAAAGATCAGAAAAATGGTGCACAAGAAGCAATTTACAGAATATTGGTAACATTCCAACAGTTCTATATAAAATAGAGTATAACAAAGCAGAAACCATAATAGGTGTGCAAATTCAGCATCCTTAACCAGCACAGAATTAATTCAATCCTTTCTAATAGCCGCCATAAGAATCAAGTAAATTTTTGCTACTTTCCTGGAAATTTTAGTTGGAAATTCAACAAGGACCTTGAGTTTTGGACAAAGCCTGTGTGGTGAGTAGGGAGAGGAGTTATGATCTCTGTACACCAAAGATGATAAAGGGAGCAGTGGAGTAACTCTAGAGATCTGACTGCAGTCAAGCAGACAGAAATATTCCTCTTAAGAGGTGTGTTATTTCTCTCTTCTCCATCAACATTAAAGACTGACAATGGTAATCTAAACGATCACCAAGTAGAATAACAGAGTTGGAAAGGACCTTAGAGATCTTCTAGTCCAACCCCTGCTTAGGCAGGAAACCTTACACCACTTCAGACAAATGGTTATCCAACATCTTCTTAAAAATTTCCAGCGTTGGAGCATTCACAACTTCTGGAGGCAACTTGTTCCACTGATTAATTGTTCTAATTGTCAGGAAATTTCTGCTTAGTTCTAAGTTGCTTCTCTCCTTGATTAGTTTCCACCCATTACTTCTTGTTCTACCCTCAGGTGCCTTGGAGAATAGCTTGACTCCCTCTTCTTTGTGGCAGCCCCTGAGATATCGGAAGACTGCTATCATGTCTCCCCTAGTCCTTCTTTTCATTAAAATAGGCATACCCAGTTCCTGCAACTGTTCTTCATATGTTTTAGCCTCCAGTCCCCTAATCATCTTTGTTGCTCTTCTCTGCACTCTTTCTAGAGTCTCCACATCTTTTTTACATCGGGGCAACCAAAACTGGATGCAGTATTCCAAGTGTCGCCTTACCCAGGCATTATAAAGTGGTATTAACACTTCATGTTTTAACGCTTCACGTAATTAAAAGC